AATCCCCCCTCCCTTATTCGGTCATTTTAACCAATTAAGTGAGCCGGCCCCAGGCGGCGAATCAATACCGCCCCCCCACGAGATGTGGAGCGACGCATGCACGCAGAGGTGGTGCTCGCCCACCCCTCTCCCAAAAATAAAGGAACACCCCCCCCCACCCACCCTCGCCAAGTCCTAGAGAAAAAGCAGGCCGTCTCCCTGCTGTTGATTGTATCTGGATTGAATAGCAGTGGGCCTGTTGTTTAAAATGATTTTCTTTAACCTGATATAGGGTAACGAGGACTGGGGGGGGGGGGGGGGCACAGACGACTGGCCCCACATTATTAATCCTGCACCCCACCTCCTCATCCCGTTCCCTGTCTGCATTACTGAAATGGGCAGCGTTAACGTCTCTTGTAAACAAACAACTGGGCTTTTCTTTCCCCCAGGACAAATACGTCGGGCGTAAAAGTTTTTGCTAAAAAAAGGAAGATGAGCCACACGTACGAGAAGCTGTCTGCCGTGAACGCGCTCGTCCTTCGATGGCATCCGTGTAACATACGTGTGCGTGTTTACTGTGTGGCCGGGTGTGCACCATTCTCAGCGTTTGCAGATAAACGCTCACCCCCTGGCTCTCCTGATTATACATGGACGCTGTGCGGAGGTTCACAAAAACACCCACGTCCCTGTTTTCCTGGCGGTTTTTTGAAAGGCCGTTGTTTCGCGAGCGTCTCAAACAAAGAGCATGGCCCTTTGTTTTCTTGGGGAGGGGGGGGAAATGTACCTGTTCACGTCTTGTTTCCCGGTTTGTGCTGGAATTCTGCAAAGAGGAGTATTTGCGGCCCATGGAAATAGATTTTTTTTCCGTTCTTCATATTGACGCCCATCACATGTGTTGCTAATTCTGTCTTCTGTCAGTTTACGTGTCCAGCTTTGCAAAGCCTCACTGCTGCAACTTTGTGTGGCTATTCAGCTGTTTCAATCCGTACGTTAAACGGTGGGGTTCCTCTTACCTTTTTGGATTCCGGTTTCCCATAATTCCTTGGCGTTCTGTGAAGGAGTTCAGTAGCCAAGATAATGCTAAAATCCTATGAGAAGAAGGTTTTGGGCTACAATTCGCAAGACAGGAAATTTTTTTAATCTTCTAACACTAAATTCACTGAATCGATTGTCTGTATTGAGGGATCTTATCAAAGTCACCCGAAAGACTAGCATATTGTCTTTGGCAAAATTTGGGTGAAGACCATTATTGATTGGTGGACAGTTTTTAAACGGAGGAATAACGGCCTCTGGAAGTCGGCTGCTTTTTTCAGCATTAATAAACAATTGTTGGGAGGACGAAAGCGGAACCGATTTTCCCAGCATTTCCCAACAAGGAAAACTATTTCATACTGCAGATCTCCATGCACCAAGACTATTCGCTTGGCTGGTAATGTGCATCATGATGTTAGCCCACATGCTAAGGCTGCAGACCTTTTAAACCTTGTGTGGCTCGGGGGGGGGGTCAATCACGAGTGTAAGGTTCAGGCTGTGCCAAAACAATTCAGTTTACCGTCCCTTAGCGCACATGCAGGCTTTGGAAGCATACAAGGGTCCAACATCAAGTCCTGCACCACCCATGCCTGAATTCCAGCCAACCTCCCGTAGTCAGGCCTGCATTAACACCAACGTGCTTTGACTTGCCCTGTGTCCTTTCACGCAAGGGTTGTTTTTTTGCCTGAAGGGGGCATGGGGCGGATGTTCCCCACAGATCTTGTCCTAACAGGTGTCTGAAACAGGTGTCCCGGAAGGCAGCTCGCTGGCTCCCCCGAAAATCGCCCGGCCGCGTTCCGCGAAGGCGCTAATTTCTCCGAGGCTCTCGAAAAATTACCGGAAAGCTTGCTTTAAAGCGAGAGGGTCTTGACAACATCCTATAATTTATATTACAGCTTCTTCGTCCTGTAATTATGATTCTTGTTTGGCTTTCGGATGCAGGGCTGCTGCTCCGGTAATTTTAGAACTGATACATTTCCATGTATGTATAATAGTGGGATCATCAGATTAAGCGAAGACACCCACTGTCGTCCATGCATGTAGGCGTAGGGAAGGAAGAAAGTCTGAAGTCTTAATGTGTGCTCTATTGCGCCCCCTAGTGTCTCAAACGTCAGCTGTCCGTTCTGTCATCGGGACACATGCAGAAACACCGCTACAAATGTTAGCACAGCCAGCCTCCCCCTTTACCCAATGCGTACCGCTAAGCTACTGCCGGCAAGTTGGATTTCCACTTGGGAATCCCCCCCCCTACCCCCAAACTAATTATAACCTAAGCAGCGGTGGAAAATGCAAATCAGAATTTTACTCACACCCCTGAAATCGGAGAGCCAATTTAATCTAATACCCCCTTTAATTTGGCGCGCTAATGCGCGGCCCCGGAGAGCTGCCCCCGTGTTACTGCCGCACTCGGCTCTGTTGCCCCCCGGCCGTCGCTCTCGCGCCCAAACCACAATGGATTAGTCCGGCGGCGGGGGTGTCTCTGACCTAACATGTCCTAATCTGGCAGTTGCTGCCCGTTCTGAGATTTAGCTACGTAGGGGCCATTTTTTTTCTTCGCGCGGTGCTAAAATGGGCTCGCTGTGGCCATGGTGGAGAGATGGTACCTTCTGGAAGGGTCCATCCCCCCGTTCTCAAACATATAGGTTAGAGATACACATGATTTGTATAACGACGTGGTTATATGGAGGTTTGACAAAAGAAATTCCCAAAATTGCATAGCAGTACTCATAATCCTGTCCTGCTTCGCTTTTTAATGAAATTAGAAAAACCCAAGAATTTGTGGTGGTTTATTCCTAACATGTTTGCATCTTCTTTGTATAATAGTTGGGTCTTTAATTATGCAATTCTTGGAATTCTTGGTGGTATACTTCAAATGTGATGGTATATTCTTTGTATGGTAATATGGCCTTTAATGATGTGATATTTGAACTTGGGGTTGTATATTCTTTGTACAATGGTATGGTCTGTAATTGCAGCGATAGAATTTGTGGTGGTATATTCTTTACATGATGGTATATTCTTTGTATGGTGGTATGGTCTTTAATGATGTGTCTCATGAATTTGTGGTGGTATATTCCTTACACAATTGTACATTCTTTGCATGGTGGTGTGGTCTTTAATAGTGACATACTTGAATTTGTGGTGGTATATCCTGGTTTGGCATGGTAAATTCCTTGTATGCTGACATTCTTTATCCAGTGTTAAATATTTGATGCAACACTAGAGTATGAGCTGGTATATTCTGTCTATGATGGTGTACATGCTTTATATTGGTGTCATATTCTTTCATGATGCAGCCCCAGAATTTGTGTCTTGAACAATATTTTTGACAAAGCATGTTTACAGTTCCAGTCTTTCCTAATGAAGATTATTACTGTCTTTTCTAATGTAGAAAGTTCACTAATGTGGTAAACAGCCTTTATCGGGGATGGGGGCAGGTGTGAATCGTGGGCTTTTATCTTGCCGGGTGACAGGTGTAATGGGTGGACAGTTTAAAATTGGGAAACGCAGCTCAAATCTGGTATAAATTATTGAGGCTTTGCTGGAGGGTCTTTTGTGGAGCTACATTCCCCATCTACAGAGGCGCTACGGAGAATATTCTGCATCGGGGGGGGGAAATGCACATCTGATGTGTGAAGTAAGACGAATCTAAAATATATCCAGATGGTAAATAGGAAGCTATACAGAGACATATACTCGGTGGTGTGGAGTCTTCCAGGTCTTCAAGAAAATCCTTTGAATGGTCTTGTCATTTCTTAGTGGTTAGTGAATTACCAAGAAATCTCCACTGTGTATTCTCCAATTGATGGATTAGGTTTGACCAGGTATGAGAAACTAGCATTTTAAAGGAAATGGTTTTTATCGTTTTTGGTGTTGGGGGTGGTGCAGTAATTAAGGCAGTAATAGTCTTTAGCAAGTTTGCTTTTAAATAGGTGAAGGCATAAAAGTTTTAGATGTGATAGTTGCTTCCTTCGAGGTGTTTGATAAAAGAAAATACACACGATAAGAAAATAATTCCCGGTGATATCAAAATGACCTGATTTCACCACCCTGACAAGCCGTGACCCAGAAGTCAGTGACGATGTGACCGTCACGTGACGCAGCAGAGCAGAGACGCCAACCTGCCAGCCGAAAAAGAGAACCGTATCTCCGCAAAATCTAATTAACCGAATCCTAATTAACACGTCGCAGGTCAGCGTGCTGGCGCACGCCAGCCTAGGGGGGCCGTTTCCAGTGCTGGGGGGCTTTTTTTCCTTTTTTTTTTTTATTTTTTAAATAGCCAGATCAAACGGAGGGGGTGATAAAATTGCAGTAATGTCATAGGAAACCTATTTTTTGGGGGGAGGGGGGGTGGAAAAAAGGCGTAGAGATCCAGACCTTGAAGAAACGGTGGGAGCGATTCGTTAATGAGAGCCGAAGAGCCAAATGAATGACACCGGCTCGGTCTAATTTGTTTTCGGCGTGCTCGGAATAGATAAGGATGATTTGGTGGCCCTCTCCTTCCACCTCCCTCTCCCTCCCACTACACCCCCCCCACCTCCAACCTTTGCTTCCCTGGAGATAAGGCTGAGTGCTCCCAGCCAATCTCCGAGGGGCGGGGTGACGGCGGTGGGGGTGCTGGTGG